TTATGGTCTATGTGCACAATCTAGAGTGGGATATAGACAGTATCTTGATACTTCTCGAAATATTCCAACATTCGCTGGCTGTAATGTATTGTATTATTGGTGCACGTTTATGGTCTATGTGAAGAATCTGGAGTGGGATATAGACGGTATGGACTGTGGGGCAGCACAGTGGCTAAATGGTTAGCACTTCTGCCTGGCAGTACTTGGGTTGTTGGTTTGAATCCCAGCCCCAGCACTACATGGCTGGAGTTTGCATGTTCTCCCTGTGCCTGCGTGGGTGTCCTCCAGGTACTCCGGTTTCATCCCACACTCCAAAGACATGCTGGTAGGTTAATTGGTTCCTATCCAAATTGGCCCAAGTATGTGTATGAATGTAAGTTAGGGACCTTAGATTGTATGCCCCTTGAGGGTTAGGGACTGATGTGAATGTACAGTATATATGTAAATGCTGTGTAAATTGACAGCACTATAGAAGTACCTGAAATAAATAAATATCTTGGTACTTCTCTAAATATTCTAACATTCACTGCCATGTACCTAGTGGAGATGGAGCTGAAGAGGGGGCTTCTCTTGCACCTCTCGTCCAACAACCCTGGTAGTGATGATAGAGTGGCATCAGAGGCTGGAGTAGCAGGTAGCGCCAGCTGGGGTTTGCAGGAAGCAGATGACAGTAGATCACCAGGCAGGAACCAGGAACTGGAACACAGTGACACTTGCTTGGCAGAGAAGTGTAGCCAGGTCGCAACCCAAAAGTTCTCAACAGCTGGCCAGCGAGGTACAGGAACATCAGACAGAGACAGAGTCAGGCTATGTACAAAGCCAGGCAGCGAGGTGCAAGAATGCAAGGAGCCAGAGAGTCAGAATACAAGCCAAGTCACAGTAGGCAGGCAGAAATCCAAGGACAGGTCAGGGGAAAGCTGAGATGTACACAGGTAATCAAGTATGGCAGATCAAAGCTCAAGTGATGAAGGAACTAGCTGAAGACCATTCAGCAATCCATACATGTCAGAGTCCAGATAAATACCGTTTTTTTTCCGGCGTATAAGACGACTTTTTAACCCATGAAAATCTTCTGAAAAGTCGGGGGTCGTCTTATACGCCGGTATACGGTGAGCCGGTGTCAGGGCGGCACTTTTTTGCGCCGCCCCCCCCTACCAACGGGAGAGACACTAAGTACAGGGGCGGGCAGGGGGCTGCTGTTTCTTACCTGGATCCGGTCCCGGTCCCACGACGATCCGGTCCAGGAAGCGCAGCTTCACTCTGTTCGGCCGCTCAATGTCCGCGCGGCCACTCGGCTACGCCTCCTCACCGGTGATTGGGCGCCAGAACTGTAGCTCAGGAAAGGCACACAGGCGGCCAATCACCGGCAAGGAGGTGGAGCCGAGCCGCCCCGCGAAAATCGAGTGAGAGAGCGGCCGGTAAGTGTGCAGCAGCACCATGCTGGAACACTATTGGCACTATTCCTCCCCCCACTGACACCAACGATGGGGCACCATTCCTCCCCCCCCACTGACACCAATGATGGGGCACTAGTCCTCCCCCCACTGACACCAATGATGGGGCACTATTCCACCCCCACTGACACCAGTGATGGGGCACTATTCCACCCCCCACTGACACCAATGATGGAACACTATTCCTTCCTCCACTGACACCAATGATGGGGTACTATTCCTTCCACTGACACCAATAATGGGGCACTATTCCTCCCACTGACACCAAAGATGGGGCACTATTCCCCCCACTGACACCAATGATGGGGCACTTTTCCTGCCATTGATACCAATGATGGGGCGCTATTCCTGCCACTGATACCAATGATGGGGCGCTATTCCTCCCACTGACACCTATGATGGGGCACTATTCCTCCCACTGACACCTATGATGGGGCACTATTCCTCCCACTGACACCAATGATGGGCACTATTCCTCCCACTGACACAAATGATGGGGCACTATTCCTCCCACTGACACCACTGGTGTCAGTGGGAGGAATAGTGTCCCATCATTGGTATTAGTGGGAGGAATAATGCCCCATCATTGGTGTCAGAGCGAGGAATCGTGCCCCATCATTGGTGTCAGTGGGAGGAATAGCACCCCATCATTGGCATACCACACTGAAATACCATACCATATTGAAATCAAATCTGATGTTTTTTAATTTTTATTTGGTGTATGTTGGAAGAGGGGTAGTCTTATACGGCGAGTATAGCCCAAACCCTATATTTTAACAGGAAAAGTAGGGGGTCGTCTTATATGCCCAGTCATCTTATACGCCGGAAAATACGGTAGGTCATTTGGCGCCAGTGCTGATACGTGTGCGCCTGCACATGTTTTCTGCACGTGCTAATACGTTTGCGCAGGCGTGACAATGCCTGTTTTGCATTGAACTTTTGCTCAGAATTATGAGCATGCACAAAAGTATGAGCATGTGCCAACCTTCCCGTTCCAACATGTACTGAGGTTCTCTTACATTCACTGGCTGTAATGTGTTGCATTATTAGTGCACTTTGAAGTGGATGGGAATACATAGACAAAATCAGTGTCATGAAAAAGTGTACTTATATTCCACATACCAGATACAGTATGTGACGGAATGAGACAAGTAAATACTTTCTGTTCTAAGAAGGCTATGCTGTGCAATGCACTGGCTCAACTAGAGGGCTTTTTGATTCCTTTAGTTCCTTCTCACCGTGATCTTCACAGTTATACTTTCTCTATGCAACATGCTGAGATTAAAACCTACATTTATATAAAACTTAAAAAAAATAGCACAAGGGATAGTAGTGACATTTAATATGAAGTGTTCCTTGTCCTCACCCCCAAACCCCACAGCCCAATCCCTGCTGCCATAATCTTCCATTCCTTTAGGGGTTAATGGAGCCAAAGAACCTGTCATCAAGAGTGCTGACTATGCTACCTTTCCCCCCTCCTCCATTTATAGAAGCTGTACTATAACTTCCATCATTGAGAAGTGTTCTATGAATGTTCTTTCATTTATCCATCTGTCCCCCATTCACAGATCGCTTTTCATTCATGGAAGCTATAGCACAACTTCTATGAATGGAGGAGGGGGGAGCATAAAGGGTGGTTATGGAGTATGGGGGTTGAGGCAAAGGACAGAGGATATCAACTATGACAGCTGACATCAGCACAAGGGACATTTTGGATTAAATGTAAGTACCATTCTTTGTGCTGTTCTTTGTTAGTTTTTTTTGGGGGGGGTTTAAGTTTGACTTAATCCTAGAATTTAAAGTGTATGTGTAGGCAACACTTATGTTTTTGATTTTGGATAGAGTAGACAAGGGTATATGTCAGTTTATTTTTTGCTGTTGATGTCCAGTTAGGGAGATTTCTCTTCACTTTCTGTTCCAGAGATGCAGCAGGAAGTTAGAGGAAATCTCTATAAAATGAGGGCAATTCCCTTTTAGTCAGTTGTCACCAGAAAAGTGCCCCCATTAAAAGATTTCCTCTCACTGATACAGAATAAGCATGAAACAAGTATATTCAGAACTCTTGCTTTACATTCTTGTTCCAGATCAGCGCCTCAGAAAGTATAGAAGCCATACAACTAGCACTTTTAGACATAGGGGTTTAAAGTCACAGCTAGACAGTTCCCACAGTATATGTTTTTATTTTTTAAAGCTGAACTCTGGGGGAAAACAAAAATCCTCCCTTGCAGTGGGGTTGCTTACACACTGCAAACGTTAAATGCTTGCTTAGGTCAGGGTACTGGAAAAAACAGTTAACCCTTTGATCGCCCCAGATGTTAACCCCTTCCTGCCCAGTGCCATTAGTACAGTGTCAGTGCTTTTTATTAGCACTGATCACTGTATTGGTGTCACTGAGGATGTCATTGACATCAAGTCAGTTCCCCCCAGTGTCAGAATGCCCACCGCAGTTCTGCTATAAGTTGCTGATCGCTGCCATTACTAAAAAAAAAACAAATTCCAGTATATATACTGCAATTTGTAGATGCTAAACCTTTCACATAAACCAATTAATTTACACATATTGGGATTTTTTTGTATTAAAGACATGTTGCAGAATACATTTTTTAATTTTTTAATTTTTGTTATTGAACATGTTTAATAGCAAAAAGTCAAAAATATCATTTTTTTTCCCAAATTTGTCAGCCTTTTTTTGTTTATAGCGCAAATATTAAACACTGCACAGGTGATCAAATACCACCAAAAGAATGCTTGATTTGTGGGGAAATAAGGACGTAAATTTCATGTGGGTGCAGCGTTGCATGACCACGCAATTGTCAGTTAAAGTAACGCAGCGCCGTAACGCAAAAAATGGCTTGGTCAGGAAGGGGGGTAAATCCTTTGGAAGGCAAGTGGTTAACAGACCAAAAGGGAACAAATAAGAGACATACTGTATATCGTTGGGATTTAAACACGGGTTGTGTTAATCTACACCCATCAAACTTCCCCCCATGCTTTCTTTGAATTAAAGCTGAAGCTGCCTGCTTTGTAGTGATGTCTTGAGAAGAGGTAGAAAGTCTGAATATTTGGAGGGGCTTTCACAGGCTCACATTGTTATCTCATGTTGCTTTGCCTTGAATTAAGGTCAGCCCTCGGCCCCCGCCCTCTCCTAGTTTTTTCGAAGCTCTAGTGCTTGTCAGGGACTATTACACATTAGTGGGCAGGAAGTGGCTGTTCCAATAGGAGGCAAGGGAATATGAATTCCTGGCCATTCCAGCACACTGAAAGGAGGAAGCCGCATTTACACATAGCTACTGCTTGCTGCTGCTGCTGCTCAGAGGGTTTCTTTTCTCTGACTTGCTGGAGTCTTACAGGAAAAAGGAATTTGTGATCTGCAAATAAACCAAAAGGCGGCCAGTGCAGATCTAACAGGCTTGTACTTTCCTTCCCCGAAAAGTGAGACACACTGAGACTGTATAGAGGAATATTGAAGGATCTGTTGGGATGGTTGTTAGAACAGTGATTGTGGTTCTGGAGATGGAAGCTAACTGCTGTTATGCTCTTGTCTAGATCTTTCAGTGGAGACAGCTGGAAAATCTTTATTTCAGAGAAAAGAAGTTCTCAGTGGAAGTTCATGATCCTCGCAGGTAAGTGCCCTGATCCCTCTGCTATGATGTGATTTTTGTTAGCAGCCTGACCAGTGACACCTAATGCTATATGATTCTCAAAAATGTTTCCTGAGATAAAGCCGGGTGGCAGAATCTCATGTGCTTTCAGCAATAAGATTTTCCCTGACATAGTTAAGTATGGCAAACAAAGTGGCGTGACTTTTCAGATCACCCGTATCCTTTGGACTCCATTAGCAGAGAGATATGACCTCTGCCCTCGTACACACCTCCAGTAAAAGTTCATTCATATTCTGTAAGATTCACCCCACCATCCTAACCATTGACAATCCAGATCTATAGCACAAGAGTCACTCTGATTTATTGGGAAGAAATTATCAGCTTGATAGGAAAGAAGGGGATGCAGTATCCTATGGCAGCCATTGTTCTTATAAAGCAAATTGCATAGTAGATTAATTTTTCTTGTGTGCTATAGGTTGCTGCACATCCCTGGCATGCGTTATAGAATTTCCAACATATAATATAGTATGCTGTTCTGTATCTGTATGCAGACTTAGCGGCATGAAACATGACATTACTTCTTGTATTGTAAAAACTGGAGCAAAGAAAGATAAAGCAGTGTACCCCTACTTACCATTTCATTTCATGTATCCTTTTGCCTTCCAGATAGAGAAGAAAAAGATTAGGGGCCTATTTGCAATCTTGCATTTTACCACATATCTTGCAATGCACTAAAATATTTGTAATAAGTATTTCCCCTTGAGATTAATAAAGTATTCCTAAAAATTTCCCTTTGGTATTAATAAAGTATTCTGAATCTAAGTTCCCCATAATAGAAAATGTTCTGTCCTCATCCCAGCACCTTGTGCATTTTTTATGAATACGGCATATCCATTTTCTTCTACATTTCAGTGCCAATAGAAGTCAGTATAACATGCACTTTGATGTTTTGGCAACAGGTACTAACAAGCCTTGGCCAATGGCTGTTAACATGAATTTAAACCCTAACAATGAACTTCTCATTATTGCTTCCTTTAAGTCTGTCAGTTATGCCATTGAAAGCATTCTGTTCTATCTGTTTTATACGTGCAAAAAATTAACTGTTGATCCTGCCAGTAATTTGGTGTTGTTCTGTGTCCTCTGCTGCCCTATCTCAATATTAACTGAGTAAAGTAATCTAAAAAAGTAAATGAATGCAGCCACTAGATCTAAGGACTGATGAGCTGCAAAATATTACATTTTTGCTATTGGGTTTAAATATACTTTAACCCTATTGATATAAAAATGCATCACTGCACACAGGGAAAATGCATGTTGACGCGTGACAACCCTACTGCTACAAGACAACGCACCCCCTATGCACATGTGTAGATCTAAATGGGCCTCTAATCTGTTTGATAATTTCCACCTTTCATAGAACAGTCCTACTGTAGCCATGCTCATTGATTACAATGAATACAGATTAGTGAATCTCAAAGAACATTGGCAAACGCTGTCTATTGTGTTCTGTATTCATAAAGTCAGTTATGCATACTGCAGACAGTATATAGAGTAGATTGTAGAGATGTACAGTATGTATATGTGTTACTACTTTAAAGCACACAAGCTATGAAGTCTTTAGCACTTTTCTCACCAGAGATTTGAATGCTTGATAGTTTAATGTAAATGACTAAAGCATTGTGTGAATGTGAATATAGTAAACAAGCAGTTGTAAAGGTGTTTTACTGTTACTTAGGTGGGGCTATACAGGGGCTCTCCTTGTCATCACTGTACAAAGGATACTAAGAAGACTTGATCTGACAATGCCTACAAACCTGTTCCACTGACTTCTGGTAGTTCTGGTAATCCCAAGTCACGTCAAGTCCCACACATTCAAAGACTGGAGGGCTGTGTGGTGTTAAGTTTCAGAAGAGCTTTATTTCCCTTCCAAACAAGTCCTGCACCCAGATTCATTTCACCCCTAGGCCCGTGTCTTCATGAATCTCTTCCCTTTCCCAGCTGAAGGGTCAAACTTTTGTCACATCTCCATGCCATCTAATATAACAGGTTCCATATTTAAAATAAGGATGCCTAATAGCATGATGGTTTCCATGGTATGTCAGTTATACGGCTAATGAGGTTTCCTGTTCGACTAGAATAATTGCCTAATAACTGCACGTGCCTATGGTAGGAATGTTTGGAGAGGGAAACGTGTGCCATTTATATGTATAGAGTTCACGTGCTCCTCACAGACCTTCTGAATGAGTTCTTCATGGTCCAACACACTTATCAGGAGATTCAATTCAGATTAGGAGTGGACAACCCATGGCCTTCCAGCTGCTGTTGAACTACAAATCCCAGCATGATCTGTCAAAGACTGACCTGATTTTATAGTGTATATTTACCGTAGGAGGCTAGTGAGCACAAGATGTAACAGAACACAAGACCAGCTGATAGACACAACACTGATCATGTGTTCTGACACCCAATATTATCGCAATGAGCAAACCATGTGAAGTATGATAGGAGTGTGTAAACAATAAAAGGCATCCAGGCGTTTACTGCGGCACGGATTGTTTTACAGAGTAGGGGGCAATGTGGGAAGTTCAGTAAACCATAGCAGATGTATATTTCACCACCTTGGCTGTGGTACGTTGGTTTCTGTGGTTATTGCACTTTACCTGTAATCAGTATTCTTCACATTATTCAGAGCAATATCTGGTGTAGATCTGTTTTATTTTCTCTGATCAGTACCGTGTGATGGGGAAACACCCAGTTTCATATTAACAAATTTGGGTTAACCAGTGACCAATTCGATTATCTGCCTGCTCTGGCCATGGCAGGATGTAAGCCATTTCTGCTCAGCACAGTTGTAAACTGATTTATACTTCCTGCCCTTGTGTCTGTGTTATGTGTCCAGAGGAAATCACAGCTCATTTCTCTGCATACAGGGCATCTGTTACCAGGAGGACATTTGGTCATGGAGGGATCGCTGTGCACACGTGGTACGCGTGTCCCGCTCTCATAAAGTCCATCTGGGCTATGGCCATTAGCCAACACCAATTCTATCTGGATAGGAAACAAAGCAAGGTAAGGCATTCATGAAATACTGTATATATTCCGGCTGATTACATTTTCCTGTAGATTCAGGCTAGAAGTCCTTAGACAATAATAAAGAGATCACAAGGTCAAACATGTGACAACTGAGAGATAGAAGTTCCCTTTTTTTTTCCTGTGTCAGTCCATTTCATTAACTTCTGCTATGACTATTTCTCATATTTCTTCCTTTTTATCAGATTACTGTCCATGCCTGTATGCATGTTTCTGCATCAACCCAACACAATGGGGTTGATTTACTAAAGGCAAATAGGCTGTTTACTTTGCAAGGGAATTTGTCTTTTTCTTATTGAATGAGGTCAAGCTCTGCTGAATTCTATCATCCGATCATGTGCACCCAAAAATACTATTTTTATTTTCCTTGCTCAGGACTGGGGATTCTTTTCAAAGTAGATTTTCACCATATTCCCTAAGCTAAGAGAAAATTCTCTTGCAAAAGTGAACAGTCTGTTCTACTTTAGTAAATCAACCCTACAGTTTCAATAACAATTATTTAACAAAAGTATTGCTGTCAAAAAATGTGTTGAATAATTATGATGCACATGAAATAATACACAATATGTTAGTATTCAAAGCAATGCCATCAGTGCATACCACAAGAATGAAGTCTACATGTATTTTTATTATTATTATTATTATTATACAGTATTTATATAGCGCCAAAGGGTTTGCTCAGCACTGTATGTATTTCCTCATAAACACATAGAATTACCAAGAGCTATAACTGACATTCGAACCAAAAATCTCAGTGATGTCAAGCGACAGCGTAAATCAAATGACACATTAACTTCTGAGAATTCCAAATAAGTGGCCTCACCTTGCTATTACAGGAATGGGAACGTCAAACGTTACTTCAGACCTTGATAATCAGTTTTAAAAGGCTTTTGGTCACACAATCATGCCTATATTTGCATTTGTAGCTGCTGACTTTTTTTATTTTTTTTTTCTCCAAAATGACTGGAATCCCTCTTTAAATAGGAGCTTCAGTCTCCCCCCAAAAAATTAGGTCAGCAGCTACAAATACTGTGGCTGCTGACTTTTACTAAAAGGACACTTACCTGTCCAGGGATTCAGCACCGTATTCATCCGGGCCGTTTTTTCCCCAGTCTTCAGGTCCCCAGCACTGGCATGTTTACTAAGGGAAACTGGCTGTCAAACCACAAAGTAGCTCTGCGCTTTGTGAATGGAACCACAGTTTTCTGGGACCTGTGACATGTCCCAGAAGGTTGCAGACAAAGAGGGGAGGGGGGTGATCATCTGCTCGGATCACCTAGGCGATCCAGGCAGAAGTGGGAGCAGGTACCTGTCAAAACTGGGTACCTTCTCCCCTGAAAAAATTAAGTTTCCAAAAGTGGGAGAGGATGGAGGGAGGAGGTGGATAGCAGAAATTCCCCTATACACAAACTGGGGATAAATGTTGAATCCATATTAGGGTGCAAAATGCAAAACAAAGACATCCAAATATTAATTTTTTTACCCATTGGAATCAAATGTTGTATATAAAACACTGAACTTTTCCACATACTTCTTCAACCATTACACAGCAAAGCCCTTCAGTAGTTGATTTGAAATGTGACAATTGATAAATCATAGCTATGCTTATATATTTATTCATTTCAGGTACTTATATAGTGCTGTCAATTTACGCAGCACTTTACATTTATATATTGTACATTTACATCAGTCCCTAACCCTCAAGGGGCATACAATCAAAGGTTCCTAACTCACATTCTAGGGTCAATTTAGACAGGAATCAATTCACCTACCAGTATGTCTTTGGAGTGTGGGAAGAAACTGGAGTACCCAGAGGAAACCCACGCAGGCACAGAGAGAACATGCAAACTCCAGGCAGGTGGTGCTGTGGCTGGGATTTGAACCAACTACCCTAGTACTGCCTAGGCGGAAGTGCTAACCATTTAGCCACTGTGCTGCTGATAATATACATAGCATGTGTTTAGTTTCTGTATACAATAGCAGCAGAGGTAATGAGGCAGTCAACAGTAAACGGATTTGAACATGATTGAGACAAACATAGATATATGCTCAGACAAAAAAGTTAAAAAAAGAAAAACTAAATAAATACAGGGAAGACTTGATGGACCACTTGGTTTTGGTGATGGACTCTTTCTGCCGTCACTCTTCTATGTTTTTAATATAGTGTAGTTTCCTTTGGCATGTTTGAAGCAAGTTCAGCTGTGGGTTCCAATATGTTTGAAAAGTCTCATTGATTGATATCTTTCATATATAGTTGGCCTGTACTTTGAAGGCAGGCCTATGATCAGAAACTTCATCAAAGTTTTCAATGCTGCTTACAGGCATTTCTTTGAAGAGGCCCTAGAAATATGTGACAGATCCATCTTTGTGCTATCAATCAAACTGATAGCATGTGGGTGTACGATTCATGACAATGGTGTCGGAAGGCTACATTCTCATAGTTACTGTACTTCCTCATGCTTCGCTCATGTCAGTTCATGAACCCAAACTATATATTTCTTCATTTTCTTCAGTATAGTAAATGCTGAGTAGATTTTTTTTTCCTTTACACGGTCCCTGCCCACATATTTCTCCCACTGACTCTCTTGATGTCATCAAGGCTTTTAATAAAAAAAAGTTCCTTTTTTGTCATTTGAATTAAAAATCACAGGGCTTGTCCTGAGCTGCTGAAACAGATACCATAGATATCTACCTGTTTTCTGTATATATTGTATTTATTTGTATACCTCTCCCCTTAGACTATTAGCTCCTTCAAGGACAGTGACTGTTTTAAATCTCCTTATCTTTTCATCCAATATTCTCATCGTGTGTACAGGGCTTTAAAGAGGACCTGAATGTTTGGTTTTTTATAATGCAAACCTTGTTTTTATGCTCAGTTTGTATATAAATGGAGGCAGCCATATTTGCTGTTTACATAAGCAAGCTGCATTTTGCTGGTTATCCCCTCATTTGACTAATCAGATAAAGGACAGGATCTCTGCATTCAATAATGATGTCTTACAACTGAACAAGATAGTTTATTGCCAAAAAATGTAATGTAATGTAACAATGCTGACATTTTGACCTATGGATTTATAGCAAATGTGTTAATGATCTGTCTACGTTAAGGCTTCCTATAATAGAAAGCAATAAACCCTTCCAACTTGAAGCAACTTTGGGGATGATAATGAATGCCTTTGGCAGTCTAAGTTCCTTCCCTCCCCTTTTTTTGTTGGAAAATCTCCCTAAATGTAGCAATAGAGAAGAGTGTAGAATCTCAGTACTGTTTGGTTAACCATTCAAGCTGGACAGGGTTAATGGCTTTTTTTTTAGATGTTTGGTTAGGTTTAGATGGATATGCACTTGTACGTGTGCTAAAGGGGAAGAAATGGAAGATAGTCGTAAAGCTTTATGTCTGTTTATAGGATCACTGTGCCTGGATTCCAAAATTGTTCTGTTCTCCTCAATTCAGACAGATCCACTTGAAGTCAAAAACTGATTTCTAGACACAAACCTTGGGTTTAAACCAATTATTCTATCAGCATATTTTTTGATTGTATGAGGAATTTCACATTAAATCATGGAAACTAGAAAACCCATACAGATAGTAATTATGCAAAATAGTTTTTGAACGTATAATAATATAAAATATTGCTAATAAAGATTTTCTACTTTTTCAACCAACAGTCTAAAATACATGCTGCCAGAAGCCTGAGTGAGATTGCCATAGACTTAACAGAGACGGGAACTTTAAAAACTTCAAAACTTGCCAATATGGGAAGCAAAGGGAAAATCATCAGCGGAAGCAGTGGTAGCCTGTTGTCATCAGGTAAGACTCAAATTATTGTTTTAGGAGTATCTAAGAGCACTGTCCTGGATTTGGGTGGTTTACCATAGGGTTCTCTGGGGAGCTACATTACTGCTTCAACATTTATAGCTGCGTGAAAATCAAATCTCTTTTAACATGTTGATTTCATTTTGCATTTGTGTTAAGAACTTTCTGATTTTAAAGTGAGGCCTGGAGGGTTGTAGTAAAGGATATGACATTGCCCACTTTTTTCTAAGGGGTACAGCTCTCCTCTTTTTGCAGGGCTCACTACCCAGTGAGTCATTGACCTGGAAAGCAGGCAGCCAGTAAGGTTTCTACCCTTTATGCTTAATATTGGTTTGCTAAGTAGTGCAGTCAGGATCACAATGACACTTTTGGATTCTGCAGCTTCAAATAAAAGTTACCAGTGGTAACTCCAATATTTCTAACACAAGTTTCATTTAAGTTTTTCATGTTTTTGTATGGGTGCCATTATGTTATACACATTGCTGTTTGTGCTATTAACTAGATGCTAGAGCTGATGAGAAACTATACATACCACACTACTTCCATATGTCCAGCTGCACAATGGCAGTTGAGGCATGGTATACAAAGATGCCAAAGAACTGCAGTTTGATCAATACAGACCTGTTTTGGCCTGCCTTGTGTTTGGTCTACATAGTGATATAGCAGGTCCTTTAGAACAATATACGTAAAATAAAATAGAAGTACAAACATTTTTTGGGTTGATGAAGTTGCAACAAAAGCCATCACAGTCCATACAGCTGCTATGGGGTCTGGGGTAGGTGGGGCGCACCATTAGGGAGGCTGTTAAGGAAAACTAAACTGTTAGGTTTCCAGTATAGAAAGATTGAAGTCAGACCTCTAGATGGTTGGTAGTGATGAATCCTCCTCTGTTCAATAATAAGCCTTTCAAAATCAGCCCAAACGTTAAAGGTCAGCTGATATCCTTGTTGTTGTTACAACTATCATTTTTATCCACAGCATTGGTCTCCGGTAGTGTACTGACTAAGCTAACTAACAAACTCTCCTGCTGCCTGTCTTTGATTGAGAATTTGTTTACATCAGTAGGCATGTGTTATGGCCCATAAAATGCCCATGTGCTGATGTGCATTGTGAGTGGGATGTGTTGTAACAATTCATTGCAGTGTTTACATTTTTCTTTTTTACTCTATTGCATTTAATGAACATTTCATTCAACTCTTTGCACAACTGTCTTCTATGTGCTGTGCATTGAGCCTGTTTTGATCGCTTATCAGCAGAGCTCATGCACCTGGTTTGAAATAACCCTTAGGCATACTTTAAGTTAAGTTTAATTACATATATTGTCACAACTGACACTGCAGGCTTTTACAGAGAGTTAGATGGGAAGGGGGGAGGGTATCAAACTTAGTTACGGGACCCCATGATTAATAGTTACACCCCTAAGCAAAAGCTTATCATAGAGCGTAACTTAGCTGACTTATATATACTCGATTTTTGTCTAGCCAGAACTGCTTCTGTTTGAAATTTTTGGAATACTTAAACTGTACATGACATTGCTCATGATCACGAAGGAAGTACTATAAGGACATTTGTATCCTAATGGTGTTTTACTAATCCCATATTCTAAGTTCAATAGTTCATGTGTATTCTTTCTCAGAATAGAACTGTCAGTCTGTAAGGTCCCCTATAGAGACTCTCCTACCTGAGCTCAGATCATTAAATATCACAATCTCTGGGCTGATAGTGGAGAGAAAACTGTTAGTAAAGCCTTTAGTTTTCTTAATAGTACCTTTTATGTGGCAGTCTTTAGAGTCTGCTGTCTGCTCTAATCAGGAGTTACGACAGCCTTACAACCAGAAATTTCTGCTCTGACAAGGATTACAAAAATTTAATAAATGACAGGTAAGGTTACAATATTTTAACAGTTTAAAGAGACCCTGTCACCACATTTGGAAAGGTTTAGTACTTGCATATGCATACCCCATGTAGGAGCTCTTTCCCCAGTATTCCCCCACAGCCAGGCACACAGTCACTCTTTGGCTCATTAATCAGTCTAGAACTATGTACAAAGCGAGGACACTAAACTTCAATCTGTAGAACTGTAAGCAAAGTCCTTGTAAAAGCAGTCAGTGGAGTTGGCTTTGTAGTAGCAGCTAAAGGCAGAAAAGCTTCCTCTTTTGAGCAATTTGTGCAGAGTCCCTCCACAAAGCATTAGATAGACTGAGCTCTTCAGGACACCAGCCGATGTCACCTTCACACAGCCAAATTTCTAGCACCAGAAGAGTGGCAGCAGCCCACAATCTCTAGGATCTCTCACACGAAGCTGTACTTCACAAATGTCCTCAGATGATGGTTGCATGTGGCCAGAATCTTCCAGACACCTCCACCAATGACCTCAGACAAGATCTTTAGATGGCAGCCCCTCAGTCAGCTGCCAGCTACCTTTAGTGTCCAGGCCCCTCAGCTAGACCAGCTGAGGTCTCACAAACAGCAAGCATATGGCAGAGTTGCCTAAGAGGAAACCAACCCCTCGTAGGCTGTGATCCTCTCCTGCAGGATAAGACACTTCTGCTCCAGGTCTCAAACTATTTGTACCCATTTCCCAGCAGCCACCTGTGCAGGGCTCACAAAGATCGACAGGGACAGTATAAATATTAATGCTACCCATTTTACATTACTCCACACCTATGTTCCAGAACTAACAGAGGGTTCTGAAAAGACAGCGAGAGTGCAATGAAACCTGCAGCTTGTGAGACCCAGAACAGACCTAACCAATCACATACACCTGCACTGCGATGAGACAACTAAATTTACATAACACAAAAATACAGCTTCACTGGACACAGTGAGCCATAACTAAATCCCTATATACCTAAACCTAGCACCTATCTAGGAGGGTGCTACATGTAAAATATCTACTTAAACGTAAGAAAGTGACTAATTTCTGAGATTAATATGATCTCTTCTAGGCTCCAGAAATTGCTGTAGAAAAGAGGTCACTGTAAGATATATTTTCAGGTTGGACATATTTAATGACTTTATTTACTAGTGAAAAGAAACACCACATCAGTGCTTAAGGATGTGGGAAAGGATCTGGAAGACGAGAAGGCTTGCTAACTAGTCAAATCTGTACAGTTCCCAGAATCCCATCTCAGCAATGCAGCCCTTTTCAGATTGGGGAAATTGATAATACTAAGCAAAAAAAAAAAACAACAAGGATGCACCAGCCTAGTGCATTATCATAAGCACTATTTATTAATAAACGTGTATAAAAAATACTCACAAAAGCTGTAAGAACAGAAGCATGTTGTAAATCCTATGACGGAGTCTCTTGGGCCTCCAGGACCTGGTTAACCTGTATGGAAGACCTAGAGCTGAGGAAGAGGGTGTATCTTTTGAAAATCATCAGAATTATTGGATTGTTTTATCATGCAGTGCTGAAAATCTCTCACATACTGGTTATCCAGGTCCTGGAGGCCCAAGAGACCCTGTCATAGGATTATTAAGTACTTGTGTACTTACAGCTTTTGTGAGTATTTTTATGTTTTGGGGGTTTTGTTTTTTTTTATAAATGGTGCTTGAGATTATGCACTAGGCTGGTGTGTACTTTTTGTTGTTTTTAATTTTTAAATAATTACTAGCCTTTGCCAAATGTGGTGACAGTCTCTTAAATAGTGAATATTCAGATTATTACAGATTCCCCTTGGAGGCTGGTTATCTTTAAAGACTACCCATGTTGCTCATATACTCCAAATAGGTGTTTTCAAGGACCGCTGCTGCAGAACTGATAGCTAGCATGTTTTTGGTTGTGTTGGGTACCCCTTTTCTCTTGTTTTTACATGAAATGTATTGGAGTGTTGCAATTTACTAACAAAAAACAACTATAGTTACAAATAGCAACCAACTAGATTTCACCATTCATTTCACTGAAGAATTCCACAGAGTGAAAATATACATATGAATCTTACATGGTCATATATATCATAATTTCTTGAAGAAAAAACATGACTTGTCTTAGAATCTGATGAATATTTTTAGACATAAAGCTGCTATTGTGATCAACGCTTCAGCTTCACAAACGGACAAAATCAAAAGCACCAGTACCTGGGTTTAAATAGCTGAAAAAAGCCGGGTTTGTTTTGCTCTGCTTTAGTCTGGCGAGCAGAACCTCTGTGCACTTTGGGAAGGCCTTATCAGCCAGTCCAGTGCCATGGCTTCCATTTTTATCATTCACCTGCCTTTTCCTGGATTGCAACGCTTTTTATAGTAAACAAAGGCGTGTGTTTTGTTTTCATTTGAAAGTTCATTGCTATTTATCTGCCAAGGAAAACATTTCCACCCATTGTTATTAAGGCATTACAGCAACACAACATATTTTCCCTGCCACCAAGCTGAAATCTGTGCTGCAATTGTAAAAATAGGAATTGTGAGTTACACATGATTTGCCCATATATCTTTCAGCTGCAAACATTTGTGTTTGACACACAGATGTTTCCCTTCTAACCTTAAGCCAATGTGTAACTAATGTGTGACCTATCCAAGCTAAAGCCAAATGGCTCAGCAGCAACATAACAATTAGAACCTGATCCAAGTCAACAATCTATAAATTTAGCTAGTTATACATGATGGGTTATTTTTCTGTCATGTTAGTAACTGGGTTCAATCTTTTCACGTACAATAAAATTTTGTTAAAGGGAACCTGTTATGAGCAAAACGTGAAGGCTGCCATTGATGAGCTCTGCCTTAGAATATGCTAGTTGCCTGACAGTTATGCATGACCCTCTTGCTTTAATAATTTTGAGAAACTGACCTAAATAAATGATACAGATAAGGACCTCTAACTATTCTATTATTTTCCTGATCTGCATACTTGTGCTGGGTTAGTGACTTTAAAAGTGTTGAATTCAACAGGCATCTCAGCCAAGTGTATAGTTTTTATCAGAATGTATTATTATTATTACTATTATACAAGATTTATATAGCACCAACAGTTTGCACAGTGCTTTACAGCATGA